ATGATGATGGTGGTGATGGTGATGATGGTGATGATGGCAATGATGATAACAATGATGATGATGATGAAGCCACAGTAGTTGCAGACACCCCCCAGGGGACCCCAGTGTCTTTCAGATTCAGCGCATCCAAATCAAGACCAACTAGATAGTCTCTAGGGTGTCACCTGCGGAGCTCTACTCCTGGGTCCCTACTCTTTTCTGCCCTAAAACCCTAATGTCATGTTCCTTACCTGACCCAGAAATGTCAAAATTCCTAACTCAAAGTTAGGCCTGGATTGGTGGGCAGTGAAGTATGTGGGGGTTCTGTGGTGGTCCAGTTGGGAGAGGTCGGGAAAAGGTGGCCGATGAGTATTCAAGGAGAGTCTCTGCCCCTGGAAGGGGTGTACCCACTGTTCGGGGTCACACAGACTCACATCTCAGCTCGCAGCATGTCAGCTGCAGCCATGTTGGATGCTGGCCACCTGCAGAGCCTTGTCTGACAGTGTCCCTAGTCCCTAGCTGCCTAGAAGGGCTTTGATTTAAAACAACAAATGGGCCTGTTTTGCCAGAGGTAGTCTCAAGTCATTCTGAGCACCCGCTGAGTCCGAGCTGCCTCAGGGACTCACTCTGTGGGGTGGGGGAGCTGAGCCTAGAGTTTCTCAGAGCACAGCTCTAATCATCTCTCTGCACTGCCAGGTGTGGTTCCAGAACCGAAGAGCCAAATGGAGGAAGAGAGAGAAATGCTGGGGCCGCAGCAGTGTCATGGCTGAGTATGGGCTCTATGGGGCCATGGTTCGGCATTCGATCCCCCTGCCGGAGTCTATCCTCAAGTCTGCCAAGGATGGCATCATGGATTCCTGTGCCCCATGGCTACTGGGTAAGAGCCAGCACCCTCCTTGGGGCCCTGCCCCTCTGGTGAGGACAGCACATGCCCTGGGGGAGGGAGCTGAACACTGGGAAGGGAGCCCTGGACCACAGAGACCCAATGGCAACAAGATCTTCCAAGCAGGCCATCCCATCCTTTGCTCCTAACTATTAGTTGTCAAGACTCCCATTCTGGGGTCACTGACTTCTTTTGTCCTGTGAGCAGGACGTGACCCTTGCCCTAGGGTCTGTCGTCCTTTCTTCCTGACTAGAGGTGGGCTTAGAGTTAATGAAATATCCCCCTTGTGGGTTGAGGGGACCCCTATGTCCCTTTAGCCACCTCTCTAGCTTTGCCCAAGAATTTCTTTGCCCCAAACTCTCCCCATATGCCCTATCCCATCACCTGCCACCCAGGCCAGTGATAACAGCATCTGCTTATCTTGGGGTCCTAAGGCCTGGAATCCTATGACAGGGGGACAAGAAGGTGGGCGGGTTTGATATAGAGAACTCCGCTGAAGGCCTGGTTCCCAGCTGTTGGCCTAAGACTTTAGCTCTGCCAGGCACCCTCCCACCCCCTGACCCCTGTCCAGTTGTGGGACTTGACTGTGGTGTGTGAAGAAAGGCTTTCTGCTCCTCCTTAATTCTGGCCTCTCTCTATCTTTGCTGTTTTCAGTTCAAGATGGCTTTCCCAGGCGCTTTTCTAAACCCGAATACCAACAATTCTTTTTAGGGATGCACAAAAAGTCGCTGGAGGCAGCAGCTGAGTCGGGAAGGAAGCCAGAGGTGGAGCGCCAGGCCCTGCCCAAGCTCGACAAGATGGAGCAGGAGGAACGGGCCCCAGATGCTCAGGCAGCCATCTCCCAGGAGGAACTAAGGGAGAACAGCATTGCGGCCCTCCGAGCCAAAGCTCAGGAGCATAGCACCAAGGTTCTGGGGACTGTATCAGGGCCTGACAGCCTGGCCAGGAATGCTGAGAAGCTAGAAGAGGAGGAAGCCATGGATGAAGACAGGCCAGCAGAGAAGCTCAGCCCCCCGCAGCTGGAGGACATGGCTTAGGTCTAGGGGTGCAGGCCCTGGGACCCCAAGACTCTGTTCCTCTCAGGGCCTGTGGTGCAGGGAATACTCTCTGAGGCAAGGTCAGGCCTAGCTTCTGCCATTCTTCCCAGTACCCAAGGCCCTCAATCACCCTGTCAACTCTAGACATAGGCCTGTTCTGGCCATAGCTTTGGACCATGCTGAGACATCCCGGACCTGTTCCTGACTCTAGCGTCCTCCTCCTCATCCCAACTTCCCTGCCTCTGAAGCCTTCTTGCTACCCCAACATCGAGGCCTTGCTACTCCATCCCTGGGTGACTCTTGGCCGTCCAAGCTTACCCCTTATTCTCTGCTCTCCAGCGCCTTCCTTTCCAGCGTGTCCCCCCCCCTCCCCGGTGTGGACTCCAGCAGCCCGTTGCCACAAGCCCACAGCCTGGCACAGCTGTGACTCGGATTGAGGAACCACACAATTGGCTCTGGTGTCCTGAGCACCCCAGTACTCAGCCCTTCAGTACCCAGTACTCAGCCCTTCAGTACCCAGTACTCAGTACCTCCCTCCCCACTCTCTGCTTCTCGCAAACCTGGACCTCGGGTCCTGCTGTGTGGACGTATTGCTTAGCTGGTCCATGGGAGACCTCTGCATTCTCTGCCCTACCCACTGATGGCCAGATTCAAGGCTCCACAGGGCAAGTCTGAGCCGCTCCCCAACCCTGTCTCCTGCCATACCCCATTTGCCCTGTAGGTTCCTCCTTGGCAGAAGTGGGCAATTCCACATGGATCGGCCCTGTACCCTGAGGGAGGGGCCCCTTCTCACCAATGCTGTGGCTCACTGTATGACTGGGGAGCCCAAACCCTTTCCCAGAGCTCTTGCGCCCCAGGGCCTGTGCTCCTGAAGCATTTGGACTCTTCTGCCTCTGACTTCGGCTTGCTGTTTAAGGCCTCCTGCCCCTAGAGCTCCTTGTAGCCCAGCGGTTCTCAACCTTCCTAGTGCTGCGACCCTCTAATATGGTTCCTCATGCTGTGCTGACCACCAACCATAAAATTACTACATCGCTACTTCATAATCGTGACTTTGCTGCTGTTACGAGCTGTCATGTAAATATCGGATATGCAGGATGTCTGCTATGTGCCCCCCCCCCGCCAAAAGGGGGTTGTGACCCACAGGTTGAAAACTGCTATCATAGCCCACGGGTTCACACGTGCCTGCTTTGGAGAAACCTAGTGCAGCAGCTTGGAAGCCACAGGCATGGCCTCACCTTTACCTAGGCATTCCTGAAAGGCCAAACCTAAAGCAGATGTGTGACAAGGAAGGTACAGGGAAAAGCTCAAAGAAAAACAGGGCAGGGGTCAGTGGGAAAGCTGTGCTAAGCCACAGCCACTCATGGCTCTGTGCCGGCTGCATGCCCACACGCATGTCCGTAGAGAAGGGACGCTGCTGGACTGAGGGACGTCTTCCTATAGAGGGCGGAGCTGTCCATACCGATAGCCTCTTTGCAGATGTCTGCCCACCTGTCGTTACCTGATGACGTGGCTACCTGGCCTTCAGGAGCCCTCTGCTCCTGGATTCCCAGGTCAATCACAAGACCCCCTTCACCCTGTGAAGTACCTACCCCACTCAACTCTGCAGGGACCGTTTCACAAGAAAGGCCTGAGGTAGCGAGTTGTGATTTTAGAGCTGTTTCGACAGTTGGTTTCCTCTTCGTTCCGTTCCTAGAACCCTCCTGTTTCCAAGTTCTTGTCTTCTTCTGGCTTGAGATGTTCAGACTCTAGCTCTGGTGTGTAAATAATGTACAAAGCTTGAGAAGGAAGAAACTGGATATTGAGGTGTTTGAAACACTGAACTGTCATAACTTTTAGATATTCAAAGCATAATTTCTGTGCTGTTTTCTGTAAAGACACAAGCAAGAATAAAATACATGCAAAGACTGCTGGAAATGGGTCCGGGAGCCTTTTCTAGGTGGGGTCAGTTGCTTGCATGTGTGTGGGTAGGTGGCCTAAAAAGTAAATCCACAAAGATTTTTAGGTTCAAACTAGGTTCCCTCTTCCGAAATTACTCCAGACTTTGGCCAGGCATCATGACATTCAACTTTAATCCCAGCACTTGGGAGACAGAGGCAGGAGGATCTCTACGGGATTTAGGCCAGCTTGCCTTACACAGTGAGTTCCAGGACAGCCAGGACTATAGAGAGAGAGACACTGTTTCAAAACAAAAACAAAACCACAGAACAAATTACCCCAGACTTCAAGGAATAACTGGCTTGCCTCTCAATGCTGAGCTCATACCACATTTGAGTGACATTTGTCACTGTGTTGTGAGACCATTCTCTATTGCAAGCCCAATTTCTATCTCCTGGGTTATCACCTACACGCCCCTGCTAGGGCCCCATACAGAAATAAGACGTTACCTCCTCCCTCTGGTACTTCTTTCTAATCAAGCCTATTTCTCTGAAGATACCCACAGGCCACAGCCTCGCTTTGTTTAGCACACCCCTGTGTACTTGTATGTGTCACCTTCAACCTAAACAGGGGCAGATAGAAAAGCTAAATGTATCAGATGATGCTAAGTCTCTCCCAAGAGGAAGGGGGACCAAACAGATGACTCAGCCATTGAAAGTGCTCTGGTTCTAGGAGCCCAGAGTTCAGATGTCAGCAGCCAGATAACAAGCCACGTGTCCTGCAAAGTACCTGTAATTTGACACTCTCTTCAGGCCTCTGTGCCCAAAGGGTATGAGCAACACCCCCCCCCCCCACACACACACACAATCTTTAAAAGAGGAGCAGGGGAGTGAAGAAGAAACAGTTCCCAGAAGGTGCATGAAATTGCCTGTAGACAGCTGTGACCCACAACTCGATGATGTCCTGGACAGAATTACAAGAGGAGAGGGCGCAGCGAGCAGACTAGATAAGGTGGCATTTGGGCTCAAGAAATCTCATAAGATTGTTTCAAATTGGCTCAGGCCGTGGAACTCCCCGGCAGGAGAGACTGCTGACAGTCCATCAAGATGACTGACAGGAGGCAGAAGCCTTCATAGCCCAAGCGGACCCAGATGTATTCTCCCCAACCTGGAGCCTGAGGGTAGACAGGGTGTTAACTTTTCAGACAGAGGACCTGAAAGAAAACGGGGAGGACTACAGTCTGATGCTGGAGACAGTCTTAGTTTCAGTACACGTAACAAAGAAAGAAAATGATCCAGGGAAGGTTGTCTGAGTTTAGGAAAACATGATCAGAAAAACAAACAAACAAACATGTAAATAAGTGCCATTTAGCACACACTAAATATTAACAGATCAGCCCTTTCCCAGAACTTTCTCAGGACAGTCCAATTGAAACACAATTGCCTAATGCTTGCTATAGTTTCTACCTGGGAAAGCATGAAAGCAAGGCAGAAAGCCATATCCAGATCCAGGGTACAGTGACCAAATTGGACTCTATAGCTATGTTCTGGTATCCAAAAAGAACAAACACACCTTACAAATTGAATGTTCTGGAAGGGAGAAGGAAGGACCCTGGAAAAAGTCCCACAAAACCACCACACCAAGGTCTGAGCTCCGAGGGTACCCTTAGCAGCCGCTCCATCCCTAAGTGGATCTGGGTGACAGATAACTGGGACACCCGTGATGCTTGGGAGATGCTGGCGATCCTGTTGGACAATCACCGTGGGCCTGGGCAGAGGCAGGGGCATGGATGCTATCAATCAACAGGAGTTGGGGGGCTGGCTACTGGTCTTCGGATAAGCAGTATCGGAAAAGCAGGGCAGGAAGGGCAGATGGCCAAGCCCAGTCAGGGCAGAATGAAGAGAACTACTGCCCAGGCACAGACCCTTTAACTCCACCCCTGGAAGACCCACTGGTTACCCACAGAAAGCTTCATGCTTCAGGAAGTGCACGGAAGTAATAAAAAAAGGGCAAGGAGGGACTGATTGATGAGGCCTATCCAAGCTGCTGCACAGGCCTGGCAGGGATAGATGAGGAGGAGGCTGGTTGGGGGCGGGGGATAGGGAAGAAGCAGGAACCCCTGAGGCCTGTGGCTTGGAGAAAGCAGCAGTAACAGGAGAGACTGTGTCTGTGTCTGAGGCTACTCCGCTTCATTCTGGCTGGCCTCTCCAGCCTTCTGTGCCACCTGCAAACCCCTGCCGCCCCCACCGTGGCCTCAGGGCCTTTCTCTTGGTCCATGAGAGGTGCAGTGTTTTGCCTTCCCAGACACCCCTGGGGCGCTGCACCTGGCCCATCAGTTATTAGTAAGGAGGCATACAGGCACCGGATGTCAATGCCTGAAATGGCTGTGGTGAGGGGTGTTGGGAACGCTGGACCTCAATTCTCAAGGAAGGCCAGGTGTGGCGGAGACCACTGTAACCCAGCACACAGCAGGCAACACCTTTGTATTAGAACCTGTCCCCAACCCTGTCTCTAATCTAAGTCTCTGATGGCCACGTTAGTCACCTGACACCTTCTGGTCAAAAAGCCAGTGGCCTCGTCTGTCTGCAGGCCTCCCTGCCCTCCTCAGAATGATGAGGTAGGTGGCTTTGTATTAAGCTGCAGAGGACACAAGCTGTCCTGAAGTACGTCGGATGGACATTTCTCCTCTGTGGTGTTTCGAAGGAGAAAGGCCCCCGCATATATTTGGATGCTTGGTCCCCAGTGGTTTTTGGATTAGGAGGTGGGGGCCTTGCTGGAGGAGGTGTGCTAGAAGGTTTCAAAAGCCCATGCCAGGCTCAATCTGTCTGTCTGTCTCTGTCTGTCTGTCTGCCTTCTGCTTGTGGATCAGATGTAAACTCTCAGCTGTTGCTGCAGCTCCATTCCTGCCTGCTACCATGCTCCTTGCCACGAAACTTGTTCTCCGACACTGCAAGCAAGCCTCCAATTAAATGCTCTCTTTTATGGAACTCACCCTGTAGAACAGGCTGGCCTCGAACTCAGAGATCTGCCTGCCTCAGCCTCCTGAGTGCTGGGTTTAAAGTCGTGAGCCACCACCTCCCAGCATCCTCTTGTTTTGGTTTGGGGCTTCTCCAAGCCTGGGGGAGGGGAGTTGCCCAAGGTGATCATGAGGGACTCAGAGGCAAATCAAAGCTTATCGTCAGTCCTGATGGGTGAAGCAGAGCAGGTTTGTGTGTGGTGCTAGGGATCAAATTCAGGGTCAGAACCTGCTCAGAAGCAGAAGTGGTTCACAAAAAGGAGCTTAGTGGCTCGGAGAGATGGCTCTGTGGTCAAGGGCACCTGCTGTTCTTCCAGAGGACCTAGATCAGTTCCTAGCACGTATCAGGTGGTTCATAATCTCCTGTAAGTCCAGCTCCAGGGCATCTGGTGTCCTCTCTGGCCTCCGAGGGCACCATGTACACATAGCATACACTCAACACACACACACACACACACACACACACACACACACACACACACACCTTTAAAAAAAGTGCCTCAGTGGGCTGGAGAGATGGCTCAGAGGTTAAGAACACTCACTGTTCTTCCAAAGGTCCTGAGTTCAATTCACAGCAACCACATGGTGACTCATAACCATTTATAGGAGGATCTGGTGTGCAGGCAGAATGTTGTATAAATAATAAATAAATCTTTAAAAAAAAAAAGTGGCTCAGCTCAGTGAAATTGCAGTGACACAGGAGTCAGATGGACAAACCAAGAAACCATTAAGACAGGTGCTGAGCTGAACAGTAAGAGACATAGAATATGTCAACTTCTTCTTCAAAGAGTTCTTTCACCCATATCCCATGGCTTTGTTCCCATAAAGTGCTATGGTTCAGCAATAAGTCTGCCCATGGTTTCCATGTGTGCCAAAGGAACAAGTCTCTGTGAAGGGGTAGGTGTGGACAAGAAAGACAAGGCAGGGAACAAACCTTTGAGCCAGGCACAGAGTCCTCCCTCATCTGGGGATTCCTATGCCTATGCCCAGGGGTAATAATCTTCCATGGAAACAGTGCTGCCCAAAGATGGGAAGACTGTCAGGACGGATCCAAAAGATGTGAGGTTAATAGATGCAAAGTCTTACCTTCAATTTCCCAAGTATGGTGGACCCTTCTGCCATGATACCACCTCCCAGGGCCCTTGTAAAGGTCTAAGGAGATGCTGACAAACACACACACATGCAACCAACTTTTCTTTTTCTTTTTTTTTTTTTTAAAGGTCCCATCCAGGTTGGTCATGGTGGCACAAGCCTTTAATATCAGCACTCAGGAGGTAGAGGCAGACAGATCTCTGAGTTCAAGGCCAGAACTGGCCAAAATATTGGACTATTCTGGTGTAAATAGTGAATTCCAGATTAGCCAAGGCTACATAGTGAGACCCTGCCTCACAAAACAAAACAAAAAGCTGGGTGATGATGCATACCTTTAATTTTAGCACTCGGGAGACAGAGGCAGGCAGATCTTTGAGTTCTAGGCCGGCCTGGTAAATAGAGTAAGTTCCAGGATAGTCAGGGCTACACAGTGAAACCCTGTCTTGAAAAACAATAAATATATAAATAATTTTAAATAAAATAAAGAACATCCCAACCCCCAGCACTGTGACCACACACACACACACACACACACACACACACACACACACACACACACTACAGAAATCTGGCAAAAGGAAAAAAAAGGCTTTGGGCTCCATAACTTTATGCTTTCTGGGTTTGCCTATTTAATGTATAGGGGTCTTTTTCTGTGACCCAGATGAGTCTTAAACTCATGATCCTGTCTATGTTACCATCCTTTTGAGATTACAGGTGTTTACCACCACACTTGGCTTAATTTTTTTTTCTCATTCCTTAATACCGATTTGTCTGTGGGGAAAACAAAACCAAAACAAAACCCACCGCCTTTATTTCAGCCTGTGTGGTGGTTTGAATAGGTTTGGCCCCCAAAAGACTCATGCATTTGAATGCTTGGCCCACAGGGAGCAGCACTATTAGGAGGTGTGGCCTTGTTGGAGGAAGTGTGGGGGCGGGCTTTGAGGTTTTATATGCTCAAGCTATGCCCAGTGTGGCAATACAGTCTCCTGCTGCCTGAGGATCAAGATGTAGAACTCAGGGCTCCTCCAGCACCCTGTCTGTCTGCACACTGCCATGCTTCCCGCCGTGATAATGGACTAAACCTCAGAAACTATGAGCCAGTCCCAATTAAATGTTTTCCTTTATAACAACAGCTGCCTTGGTCTTTCCAGCAATGAAACCCTAACTGAGATGGCTAGTAAGAAGGAAGGGGTTATTTTCTTCTGCGTTAGATATAAAGATAAGAGGGGGTGGGGTAGTGTGTGTGTAATAAAGTTTAGTGACAGGGCGCTTGGCTAGGATTCATAAGGCTGTAGGTTCAATCCCCAGCAATGAAACAAACAAACAAAAGATAACAAAGGGTCCCAAGGGTCAGTGGTTCAGGCACTGGCCACACTCTCTGCCCTCTCCAGGCCATCTGGTGGACAGGAGGGACACAGATTGAGTGGAAAGGCATGGTAGGCGTAGGCAGGAGGGTGTACCTTCAAACCTTCAAGCACAGGTCTGGAGACTCAATCAAAAAGATCACTCTACAGTGGAAGAAAAAAAAAACCCCACACATTTAAAATATTTATTCTTTATTTAAAAACTTACAAAATTTAAATGGTAAATTCAAGTTTAAAAAAATCTATCAGTGTGGAATTTCGCCAGCTTTCTTGAGTCCCATAGCTCTTCCCACTCTGACCCTTCGCTTCTTACAGTTCATTTAGTTTTCTTCAGCAAAAATCATGGCAGCAGCACTGGGGAGGAGGCCTTAGTGCTCCCCGAAGGGCCACCCCTGGGCAGGGCCCGAGGCTGCTGCTAGGGTTCCTGTGTAGGACCTGAGATGAACCTGAGGCTCCTTCCTGCCCCAGTCTTCCTTGTCTGTTCCGGGCACCGTGGGCCTGCCCAGAGCTCAGCTGTCCTGGTGTGTTCCCGGGCATGGCTTCATTCCTCTTTGATTCTGGTCAGTTCCCACCTTCCTCCTCCATACAGTTTCAGAACCCAGGAGTGAAACTGCAAGACACCCAACGCCTCATGTTTGAGGGGCCTCTGGTCCCAGCCAGGCCCCGCCTTTGGGTTTTTTGGGTACCTTCTCGAGGCTGGGCCGATGTCCCACGCTGACGAACGTCATCCCCAGTTGCTGGCCGATTCGATAAAGCTCGCTCTCCACTTCCTCTGTTAGGGCGCTGGTGGCCTCATCCAGCACTGACGGCAACACGTGGTGGCAAGGATCACAGACCTGCCCTTCCCCCGTCACTCCTCCAACCCATGATCACCCCGAGGGTGTGGAGGACTGATACAGGACCCCTGCTTCAGGGAGACAGTCATCCAAGAGAGCCATGCCAGGATAGAGAGAGCACCCGTGAGCATGGCTCGGGTTTCTCAGCTGCACCCCAAGACTGAACAACCCGGGACTGCCAAGGCTGTGTCTTCAGAAGAGTCCATACCTACTACATCTGCATACCCCTGCCAGGCACAGCTCGAGGGATACCCCTCATCTCTGGCAGACTCCCAAGAGCTACATTCACAATACCTCTAACGGAGGCTACCATGGCAGGGAGCTTGCTATTGGGCGCTTACAGTCTCGGGACTATGCCAAGATGGCACGCTCTGCCATCACAGGCAGGGGACACAGGGGTGCCCAGCCGTGCACAGGTGGGCATGGCTGGCCCTGAACTCACGCTGCGGGTACCTGTGAGCACACACAGCGCCCGGCACGCGCACCCACGGCGTACACCTCACCTGCGTACTTTGGCTGCAGGTAGAAGAGGCGGGCGAATGACAGCCTTTGCATTTCCCCTGGGGACAGGACATCATACCTAGAAAAAGCAGCGAGCAGTGAAACCTGCAGGGAGGCAGCAGCATGGCTTTTGCCAAGATTAGGTCCTGAAAGACTCCAGTTCATTACAGAGGCTGGCCCTGGGACAGAGGCCCTCCCCCTAACCCACATGATAGGAGAGGCCCAAACTACGCCTGAGAGGCTGATCTCGAACTGGTGGGCCAGCCCAAAGCCTGGCTGTTGGAGTCAGGAGCCATTCTATCCCTGCAAAGGCCCCATGGGGGAGCTGCCCGGAATAGCTCGTCCTTACCAGTTCCAGTCGACCTGCTGGTCCAGACCTCCTGCCCTCGCCACCAAGCTGGACTGGAACAGACAGAGGGCACAAAGTCCACACAAGCGTCCGCCCGTGTTTTCTGCAGGCCTAGCTCCCCGCCTTCAAATGTTTCTGTGACAGACGCCGCAGTGGCGTGCCCTGGTGGGTGTTGTCACCCACACTGCTTAGGCTGGCTAGAGTACTGGGACAAGAAAAAGCAGACCGACTCCAGGGGCCCAGCAACTACCTGTGGCGGGGCTCTCAGGCAGACCTGAGTCCTCAGGGCCCCTGTCCCACTCACCAGGCCTGCCAACTCCAAGAACCTCACGATCCTCTCATCATCGGTAGAACCTGCAACACAGAGGCTTCTTCAGCTCGTCAGGGCCTCAGGCTGGCCGGGGTGGACAGCACGCATCACGGCAGGGGCAGACTCCCAGAACAAACCTGAGGGCATAGGGCCTGCGAAGGGAAGACCTGCTTCCCTTCCCCAGCGGGTGTCTCTCCTCAGGAAAGGAAGACAGGACAAAGAGAGGACCCCAGAATACTGAGCAATTTAATAAGGCCCAGCCTGAAACCAGCGGCCTCGGTAGATCGACAACTAAGATGAGAGCCAGGAGCTGAGGAGGGGCAGCTCACCTGAGTCAGGGTAGATCTCCTTCAGGGGATAGATCACCTGAAAGCAAGAGCATCGCTGGCTAAGGCAGGTAAGGAGAGACAGCTGTACTCGGCTCCACCATTAGCATCCTTAGGAACCACCCACAGAAGCCAGGCCCCTCCCACCTGAGCAGAATCGGGACCCGCCTGTGGGTTTAGTAGGAGATATAGGTGCAGCCAATGGGCAACAGCAACCTTCAGGAATGTGTTGCGAGAGTCTTGGAGCCTCCTGAGGGCAAACTTCAGTGCCCAACAAACACATGGGGGCACTGGCTAGACACCCTAGGAAGTGGGTGTGAGTTCAGCCATAAATACTGCACAGTGTGTTCTCAGAACCTGGGAATTCGAAGGCACTGGCATTTTACTGCCCCTATCCTTCTAGGGCGAGGCCGGTGACACTGCTAGAAGCCCTAGCTGTAGGCGGGAGGCATGAGGTTGGAGGAGCGGACCCCTGACCCTGCTGACCTGCTCCCGAAGTGTCCCATCAGTGAAGAATGGCTTCTGTGGCAGGAACAGCACCCCGTGGGGCCCAAAATCAGCCAGCATCTGCACTGAGCCTGCGGGGCCCACAGAAGCCTCCATTGAGAGACCTCCAGAGGAAGTTAACTGCCTCTTCTCCCCATCTCACCCTCCCCCACCACACTGCCCACCCAGGGCCAAGGCCGCATTGGAGGCAGGGAGGGCTGGCTCACCCTTCTCGCTCTCCCACAGGCCTCCCAGCACCCGCAGGAGGGAGGTCTTGCCGGTGCCCGTGTTCCCTGTGACGAGCAGGCTCTGGCCCTCACAGATCTTCAGGCTCAGGTCCTTGATGAGGGGCTTGTCTGAGGAGGGGGCCAAGACCGAAACCCGATCAAGCAGAAAAGCTGTGTCTGATGGTTCTGCTGTCGGCCACCCTGAGGCCCTGGGGGCAGAGAAGGGAGGTGGGAAGACAGGCCATGTGAGTAGGACAAGGCGAGTGCTGGCCTAGAGGGATCACCTTTGTCTCAGGGGCCTTAGGGCCTTAAGTAGGCCCTTCAAAGCATACACAGATGTTTTCAGTCCTCCTGCCCCGGAGTGTAAAAGCATGTGGAGAAGGGGTAATGTTAAAATGAGGCTGTTACAGTGGACCCCGGGGACAGGGCAATGCACAGGGACCAAGTGAGGAGAAACATGGAAGTGACCCTCTGTGAGCCAAGGAGAGCTGCCTTGGGGGAACAGCCTCACCAACTCTAAGTTACACCTTGAGTTCCTAGTTTGCAGAACCGTGGGAAACTTCCTTTCAGTTAAGCCAGGCTGTGGTATATTGGCATTGCAGCCTAACATGGCAATGGAGCTGGAGCACTGTATGTATTTATTATTTGTATAGCATTCTGCCTGCATGTGTCCCTGTGCACCAGCAGGGGGCACCAGCTCTCACCATATGGTATGAGCTACCATGTGGTTGCTGGGAATCCAACTCGGGACCTTTGGAAAAACAGCCAGTGTTCTTAAACTTCTGAGCCATCTCTCCAGCCCTTCCCTATAGATACTAACCAGTCTTGGCACCCATGAATGGTAAATGTTGACCAGCTTGGCACATAAAGGAAACCAGCTCAGTGGCCAAGTGACTTGCCCCGGGCTATACAGCTTCATTCTTATATTTGTGGGGGTTTTATTTGTCTTGTTTATTTTCTTTTTTTTTTTTGTTGTTGTTTTTGAGACAAGATCTCACTGTGTAGCCTTGGCTCTCCTAGAACTGCTGTGTGGACCAGGCTGGCCTCGAACTCAGAGATCCTCCTGCCTCAGCCTCCTGAATGCTGGGATTGGAGGCGTGGGTCACACTCAGCCATAGTCCATTTCTGAAAGCTTCCTAAGTGGCCACCATCCAAACACTGTCCAAGGACGATATCTAATCTTTACTTCTGAGGAGGAAGATCTCTTTAGAGGCAAAGAAAATGACACCCAGAACACTTAAGTAATTTGCCGACAAGATGGACCAGGATGCCGGGTGTGGTAGCAAATGTCTTTAACCCTACCCACCACTGGGTGGGGGGGGAGGCAGAGGCAGGCGGATCTCTGTGAGTTCTACAGAGGCCAGCGTGTTCTACAGGCTGAGTTTCAGGACAGCTAGAGCTACACAGAGAAACCCTGTCTCAAAGGACGAACAAAAGACAAAAGAGAAGAAGGGCGCAGGACCACAGAAGACACACTAGGAAGAAGAGATAAGGAGTGAGCCGTTTAGACTTTTTTTTTTTTAATTTTAAAAAACATTATTTTTTGTTCTGTGTGGCACATGCAGGCGTGTGTACATGTGTGTGTTGACATGTGATACCAGCGGTCATGGCAAAGGTGCTCCTTCTCTGTGAAAGGGTCTCTCCCTGAATCTGGACCTCACTGATTTCCAAGGCTGAGTAGATACTGAACCCTTGGGATCTGCCTGTTCTCAACCATCCTGCCTTAGCCTTATGGGCACACACTGCCATCCTTGGCTTCTGTGTGGTTGCTAGAGACTCAATTATAATGCACTTGACCTAACATGGAGGTTGCTCCCACCCACTCCTTATAACCCTGCTACCAAGCTGGGAGGAGGGGTTCCGGGTTCAAGCCAGCTGGTGATCACTGCGTTCCTACACCTGCACTCTGGCTCCGTACTCACTTGCACAAATCCCACTCATTGTCGCTGAGGGTCTCACAGTCTTGTGATTTTTGGGACATGTCCAGCAGGACCTCCTGAAGTTCTCCAATCCTGGGCAAGAAAGAAGAAAGACCCTAAGATGGGTTCCGGAATTCCGGTGAAGGGGAAACCCCTTCCTGTCTCATGCCCACAGTGGGATTCTGTCCTCTCCCTGTTAAGCATTTTCCAGTGGCGCGCGCTCTGCTCACCTGTGCGTGTAGCCGGCCACGTCTGAGAGCGTGGTGGACAGGTCGATGAGCTGGGTGAAGCAATTGATGAGGTAGATGCACACGAAGGCATTCTGGTCAGGGCGGACAGCGGTGAGTGGAGGCCCCAGGCGCCGGGCCACAGTCTAAGGGTTTATCAAGATGGAACCTCACCTTGCTGACCAGGGTGCTGAGCTCTGTGGGGCTCAGGTCTCCATAGACCCCACTGAAAATGGGGATCGCGATGACTACGTAACTCAGAATGCTGCCCAGATAGTCAAAGGTGTTGATACCGACTGTAGGAGACAGATTTCATGAGACCCAGGACACACTCACGTGTTCTGCAGAGGACACAACCCTCAGGACGGGGAGCCGTGAGCCAAGTAAGGTCACGTTCCGTCCAGATCTTCATTCCCCTAGGATATCCACAGCAAAGGCAAATGCTCCCCCTGGTTTTTCAGTAAATGTGAATCGCTAACTGGACCGCTCCCATCCCCCGGTGCCAGCTCCCAGGGCCCCTTTGCCTACTGTACAGCCAGAGCTCCCTGGACATCAGCTCTCTCTGGGTCTGAAGGAGTCTCTGCAGCCTGCGGTCTGTCCTCATGTGCTCCACCAGCCCAGCTCTGATGGAAAAGGGTGGGGTGTCCACAGGATCTGCAGGGACTCCGTGGGGCTGGGACACCTCTGCTCCCACTACAGCCCCCTTTAGAGGCCACGCCCGTCCAAATGATCCTAGCCTCAGACTCGTTCTTCCATAAGCACACAGCTTGAGCCCCATGGTCCACTCTGTGGTCAGGAACTCAAGTTGGCCAGGGATGGTTCAAATCCAAAGCTCTGGCTGGTTTCAACTAAAATAACAGTTACTTAAGCTTCTAACACCCTTTTTCTTACTTTAAAACTGAACTAGTAACATAGTAAGTTAGAATGTGATTTAAGAGTTCCGTTGAGGGCTGGAGAGATGGCTCACAGGTTGAGAGCACTGGCTGCTCTTCCAGAGGTCCTGAGTTCAATTCCCAGCAACCACATGGTGGCTCTCAACCATCTACAATGAGATCTGGTGTCCTCTTCTAGCCTGCAGGTGTACATGCTGGCTGAACAATGTATATATAACTTTTTTTAAAGTTCCATTGAAGGGTACTGAAGAGATGGCTCAGCACTTGTTGCTCTTACTGAGCACCCGGGTTCAATTCCCAGCATGCACATGGCAGCTCACAACTGCTTGTAACTCTAGCTCTACGAGATCTGACAGCCTCTTCTATGGGCACTAACGTGGTGCAAAGAAATACATTCGAGCAAAGCACTCATGATCATAAAATAAGTAAATCTTGGAAAAACTTAGCCCAGTGTATTGGTGCACGCCTATAATTCCAGCACTCGGGAAGCAGAGGCAAGCAGATCTCTATGAGTTGGAGACCGGCCTGTTTACAGAGTGGGTTCCAGGGCAGCCAGGGACACACAGGGAGACAGTATTTTTGCTTATTTGTTTTGTTTTGCTTTTTAAAAAACAAAAAACAAAACAACAAAAGCAACAAGTGCTCTTACCCATTACAGAGCCAGGGGCCAGAGGGCTGTTAGCAATTACTAAGAGCACTTGCTGCTCTTCCAGGGCATGCTGTCCCAGAACCCACATCAGGCAGCTCACAACTGCTCATATCTCCAGCTTCGGGGGACCTCATCAATGCCCTCTCCTGACCCCTGATGACAGCAGCAGGCACACACACACACAGACACACACACAAATAAAGTAAATACAAATTAAAACAAATAAATAAATTTAAAAGAATTAAAGGCAATTGCATTTAAAGGGGTGTGTGTGTCCCTCTTTGTTTGTTTGTTTGTTTGTTTTTGAGACAGTATCATGAAACCAATCCAGCCCTTAACCTTCTATGTATCGAAGGATGACCTTGAATTCCCTCTACCTCCTAAATGGTAGGTCTACAGACATGTGGTACCACACGGGTTTTATGGTACTGGGATGGAAACTAGGGACTCAGTCATGCTAGGCAAGCATTCTACCAGTGGAACAACACCTCTGGCCCTCGAGCTTTTTAATATAAAGTGCCACACACATGAGGGAGCCTCCATAAATGAGAGCCATTATTATTGTTTTCCTATTAGTGCTGGGGTCTACAGAGCTCAGAAAAGTGTGCCTGCTAGGCAAGTGATTTACCACTGAGCTACACCCCAACCTCAAGAGCTACCACTATCAAACAAACGAAATGGAGCATTCATTCCGGGGCAGACTCCATGCCGGCAATCAGCCAGCACTGACGTAGATAAACAGTTCTGTCTTGAAGGAACTCAGAGGACAGGTGGCCTTACCACATTCTTCACTAACCACTACGAATATGGAGGACCAAATGCATCCTCAGGACTATGGCAACAAACAGGCATGCCCGCTAAGGGAGTCTAGGGCATCTCTCCGGAGGTGGTAACTTAAGGCTTCAGGAACATGCAGAACTCGGCAGGAGGGCCCGTCTGCAGCTCTAAGAGCTAACCTGGCCGAACCTGCAGCAGCGGAGGCCGTGGAACCCAAAGCAAATGCATCCGTGGGCACACCCCGCCACCAGACTCCAGCTCAGATTCTTTTCAGATGGTCTCACTCTGTAGCCCTGGCTGGCCTGAGCTCACTATGTACATCAGGTTGGCCTTGAACACACAGAGATCTGCCTGCTTCTGTCTCCTGAGTGGTGGGGTTAGAGGTGTGAGGCACCATGGCCATCTGGCTCATCTCTGACTCATAGGGTTCCTGGTGTCTCAGTGTGGAGACGACTGCTAAGTGCAAAGGAGCTAGGGCTATTTATTAAATTCACCCCAGAAACAGGGAACCCGAGGAATAATTCAATTCTTAAATAGCCTATGCTACCAGCCCAAACACCGACACCAGGACCTGCCCTGGTGCAGGAGAGGAGAGACTTCACAAGGCTGAAACGCCAGGCCCCTGGCTCCAGCAAGGGTGGGGAGCAGGTATGGCCTTCTGTGTGGAGCCTGTCCCCCTACCCCACCCCGCCATGCTACAGAGACAAAAAGAAGCTATTTCAGACAAGAAAGGGGACTAAGGCAAGAGCTCAATCAAGATGAAGCTACGCACTCATTTTGTTCCTTGGGCCATTTTAAGGCCCTGTGTTAGGCCACTGAGACTAGGCCATCAGAAGCAGTCCCCATACCTAAGGACAGTGAGAAAGGTGGGAGAGGGTCCCGGCAAAGTGTGATGAGCTCTACAGCGCCAAGAAGGCTGTAGACTTTATCTCTGCTTTTCTGCTGCTAACTGTGGCCAGAAGGAAGAAGGGCTTTCTCCGCCAGACTCACCTGTAGAAAGCAGCAGGCTCGGCGTTCACTCGAATCTGCATGTGTTTGAACCTGGACAGACAGAAGGGAAATGTGTGCCCTGGGGAGCCCTGGATGGGGAGGAAGCCCGCCCACTCCCACATCACACTGAGCCCAGCTCCATCTCAACACCCTAGCTGCCTTTCCCTGGACTGTCAAGAGGCTCAAGGCTTGGGTGGGGCAGCAGCTCTGTGCTGACATCAGCTTTCTGGAATGGGACAGGTGCATTCTTGCCTACGGGGCCACCTCCCCCAGGCCTAGCTCAACCGAGGCAAGATGCACAGGGCAGGGGTGGGATTTGATCAGCTCCTGGCCCAAGAGACAGGGCAATTAGACCATGAACATGTGCAAAGGCCCCCAGAAGACGCTGGTGATAGCCAACCCACACCTTTCTCACTGTTTTACATGCATCATCCCCTTAATTCCCACAGTTCTTTCAACAGACAAGCATATCGTTCACTCCAGAAATGAGGGAACAGAAACCTCGAGAGGCACATGACAGCTGTTCCTCCATGAGATCAGTACAGTCTCACCCCGCCCCTCAACCTTCAGCAAGAAGACACACCTAAAATCCCCCTCCAGCTTCTCCTGCTGCACCAGCTTCGTCACGATGGGACCCATCAAAGTTTTGTTCACCATGGTACCCAGGATGAAATATCCAAAGATGCACAAAGGCCCAAGCCAGCCTGTGCTGAAAGGCAGAGGGAAAGGGAGGGAGAGAGAGGTTATGGGTGAACCTCACTCCTGCCTCATCCCTGTCGGGTAGCCCTTGTTCCATCACTGTGACGCCTGACACCTGCCTAAAGCTACTGAGCCCGGATCGCTGTCAGTGAACTATCACAGGACTGGAGAGGGGGCAGGGTCATGAGCACGGGAGCTAGGAAGTCTCACTGGGGTGCAGGTGGGAAAGATGAGCCTCCCTTGGACCCTGACCTGCCCTCCGTGTGGGGGACTCAGGGTAAACACCAGGCTGGGGAGGAGGATGGCCCTGGAGGGAGAGCCTGCACCTTTGGAAGCACTGGTACGTGTAGTAGGCGAGAGTGAAGGGGGAGATGATGAGCTTGCTGGTCACACTGCTCAGCTGCCGGCAGAACCGCTCCACGTCCTGGCTGATTCGCTGGTCCCTATAGCCAACAACACAGAGAGGCTAAGCCCAGCGAGCTGGGGACCTCCACTTCTAACCTTGACTTACATGGACCCAGACAACTAGTCCTTAGGCTCCGACCAGGATTCTAGAGATCTCGAAGGCCCCACCTCACCACCAGAACCACACTGACTCCTATTCCCAGCGGGAGACATTGGACAGGCCCCATGCCTGACAGGAACGGGGTTATTCCCTCCTCACTACAGCCATTGAGACGGGAACTCTTCTGATCTTCACTGTACAGGAGAGGAATGTGGAGCTTAGGGGCTGAACGTAAGGGGCTGGGAGGTGATAGGACAGGCAGCTGAATCCCAGACAGCACCAGTAATTTTCTTTTTCTTCTGCCCTGCCTCCCTGGCTGCACAGCCCGGCGAGGATGCTTCACTTGCCTCATTCCAACTCAAGATAGGGAATGGACTAAAGAGAACTGCTCCCGACTGCCTTCTTTCAGCTCCCTACTCTCAGCCCCATGGCCTTGCGACAGAACATCTTCCCTCCACAGCTCTGGCTAGGGGTCTGCAGGGCTAAGGTACTCGGATGGGCCACTCAGCAGGCGGCAAGGACTGAGAGGGATGCCTACGGGTTATCAACGTCGTCCCGCAGCACGTTGAGGGTGTAGTACACGCGGGCCCGGAAGTACAGGCGGTGTAGGTGTTCCGTGAGGTCCTTCCGCCAGCTCACGTACAGCAGGTTGCAGGTGAACTGGTCAAAGCTCTTCAGCTGTGCGAGGGAGGAAGGCAGGGCAGAGGGAGGGGAGGAAGAGATGGCTTTCGGTAAGACTAGGTTCAAAGCTCAGAGCTGGCAGGAGCTTCCGCTGATGGGGCAGAATCCGCTCTCATCACTTCAGTGCGTTTCCCTCTTAAGGCTTCAAGTCACGAGATTTCCCTTCCCTGTTCATCAAATGCCTACTCCTTCAACATCCTCAAGGAGGCAAGCCCCTCAAGTCCCTTCCTGCAGTCCATGTCTCACACTGGGAGCAGAGGAGCCTCGGGAGGCAGGGAACCATATGGCTTGCTTCATTTATGGTCTTCCTTCTCTGTCCCCAAGCATGGAAGAGACCTCCACTTGTCTTAGGTTTTACTGACTGAAAGCACACACATTAGGACAAGAAAGGGCAACCCCAAGGAACTCCCAGACAGAGGTCGTCAGGCTGGTAGAGCCTTGACTCGTCACCTGCCATTTCTGAAGAGCCTCACGCTAAGCATTAGGGAAATGACAAGGAGTTCGCAATCCTGCCAATGATTAGAGGACAACAAGGGTGTGCTGAGAGTGGCAGCAACTGCCAACTCAAAAAGCAAGCACACACAGAGAAAGGGTTGAATTTGACAGGGGAAACAAGAAGAAAGTTGAGCAAGACTCAAGGGAGGTGCCGATAAAGAGATCTTGAAACACAAGTAGGCTGTTGCCAACTCAAGGAGTGGAAGGCAGCACTGGAAAAGAAAAAAGCATGTGAGAAGGCTGCAGGCATGGCACCACTCTGGGCTGAGTGACAGCCTCAGCTGACAGAGAAGTAGCAGCTCTCTGGCTGCAGATCCTGGGGTTAAAGTGTTCTTAGCAACCGGAAGTGAGAGTTCTGGGAGGGGAAGGGACCTTGACTATTTCTACTGTACGTTAAGCCAGAAGGTTCATCCTAAGTAGGCCAGCAAGGCCCTACCTCGGGTTCTGACCTTCAGGGAAAACATAGCTCTAATTCCCAGAAGGCAACAGAAACACACCCAGAGCTTCGTTCCTGCTTCCTGAACACTAAGTTCCAGCAGGCATCCCACTAGAAGACCGGAGAAGGGGGCCCCACAGGGAAAAGGCGAGTCCTTACGGTGGAGTTGAGGACAATGAGCACCACGGCTAGGAAAGTCAGTGCCTTAAATCCATCCAGGTCTTTGTTTCCCAGGACCCCGTAATACTGACTGGGGATCAAGCCAACTTGGTAGATCACCAGTTGCTCTGTGGGGAGGGAGAGGAGCCAGAAATCAAAGGGGAAAGTAAAGACATTTCCTCCAGCCATAAACAAGAAAAGGAATCCCAGACCCAGGCTCCTCCCCAGCCCCCAGAACCCATTCACTCACCCAGGAGGGCCATACACAAGAGCGTCATGAACATTAAGACATTTTTTGATAACCAAGAAGGAAAGAACACCTTCTGTATCCTCAGGAACCGCTGGACAAGTTGCAGATCTAACCTGGGCCTGCAGAAATCAGGACAGGAAGGGAAGGCTCAGGGGACAGTTGAGCCTTACAGGAGGTAGGGAGCTGAGTTTCATTGTTCTGCAGAGGGTCCAGGCTTTGCACAAAGAATGACGAACAAATGCGGAAGATGGTAGGACAGAGGAGATCAGTGCGAAAGTGATACTGCTAATGTCGCAAATGATAATATATGTATACTTTAATGAAGATACCTTGATAATGATGGAGTGGGAAAACTGCTCTCAAATAAGACTCCAGACCTGCCAACTATACAGAATTAAATTGCTGGGCTTAATGTAGAATTAAGTTATTTTACTCCACACAACGCCAAGGAGTTTGGTTAAACGAGAGAAGGCATTTACAGAGTGAAATTTATAAGGAACTACAATCTGGAACATGCAAAGAATTTCTGCAATTCAGGATGCTTCTTTTTTTCTTTTCTTTTTCTTCTTTTTGTTTTGTTTTGTCTTGTTTTGTTTTTCAAGACACAGTTTTTCTGTGTAGCCCTGGCTGTCCTGGAACTAGCTTTGTAGACCAGACTGGCCTTGAACTCACAGAGATCTGCCTGCCTCTGCCTCCCAAGTGCTGGGATTAAAAGCATGGACCACCTCCAAGTCAGGATATTTCATAGGAAAGTGGGGAAAAGATATAAACAGGCAGTGTATAAAAGGGAAAAGCCACAGATCAAACAAATGTATTAAATTAGCACAATGTGAGTGACAAGATGTCTCAGTGTTTGTCTCTAAGGCCTGAATTCCACTCCCAGATCCCACTGTGGAAGGAATCAATTCCTAAAATTTGTTTCCTGACCTTCATACTTGTGTCATGACACACACATCACACATACACATGCATGCACAAGCATACACACACTAATAGAATAAAAATAAATCCAGCACAGTAGAATACTATCTTACACACATCAGATTGATACCTATTAGGAAAAGAAAAACTAAACGGTATTGTTAGATATATAGGAAACCAGAACCTTTCTATATTGCTGTCAGGAAGTTTAAACTGGTTGTGACCACTCCAAAAGCTTGTAGAATTAAGTACGGCTCAGCATCCTATCTCAAGGTGAATAATCTAGAGAAAAATCACGGTATCTACCAAGAGACAACGGCGGGAATATTCATTACAGTATATTTTGTGGCGCTTTAAATACTGGAAACAATCTAGGCACCCATTACCAGGGAAATAAACAAAATAGGGTTACCGGGGTGACACCAGATCACATTCCGAAGTGAAAACTCATAGCATGGATGACCTCAAAAACCCAATGCTCAGTTTGAAAAGCTCCCCCCGCCCCGTTTTCAAAAATCACAACATATTACTTACATGAAATAAAAACAAATATATATTTTAAGGTAACGTGACAATTAACGTAAGGGGGTCTGAAAAAATTAAATGTACAGAGGAGGGTGTGAGAGGAGCGGATTGGGACTGAGAATGCGAACCAAGGAAGAAAGATGCCGAAAGAGGGGGTGTCCCGCTTGGTACCAAGAATGAGGCGGTGTCAACACTGTCCCGTGCAGTCGGGGTTCCAAAGGGCGGAGAACTGAAAGGACAGTAGCGAGGAAGGACCCTGCGGGGGCGCCAGGACGGCAGCCCGTCCCCCCCCTGCCCAGGCGGGGCATCCCTTCCAACCCGGACGTCCTCACTAGTCCTGCTCACCTGGTGCCAGCTCGGGCCGTGGGCCCCGGCGCCGCCATGACCCGGGATGCGACAGGCAAGGCAGTGGGGTCAGCGCGCTCGCTGCCTGTCCCGGGCAGAGTCCGCAGAGCTCGGGGCCCCGCCCGGGGGGAGAGGGGCGGGACTCCGGCGGCCACAGAGACGCGGTGGATAGAGCGGCACCGCGGCCGCTCCCGGAAGCACAGGCTCTCCGGAAAGAGCAAGAGCGTTAACCGGAGTTTACGGAGCCGCCCGGGCGGCTAGAGCGTCCCCTCTGGGTCTGGGAGGTCTCTCTTGACAACCGGTAGCTCGGAATGTCACTTTTTCTCCCAGAGAAGCCAGAGCGATCTTTAATTTGCTTAATTGGTTAATTAAAAATTACATATCTATTTAGAGTGCGTGTGTGTGTGTGTGTGTGTGTGTGTGTGTGTGTGTGTGTGTGTTCACGGGAACTGCGAGCCAGGGCACAAGTGTGGAAGTCAGAGGACAACTTTGGGGAGTCAGTTTTCTCCTTCATGGTGCTCCCAGGGAGCAAACTCAGGCTGTCAGGATTGGCAGCAAGAACCTTCATCGGGTGAGCCAGCTCCCTGGTCTCAGCACGACTTAGATGATTTTTTAAAAAAATATACTTTGTGCTCGTGGATGTTTTGCCTGCTTGTATATCTGAGTACCACGTGAGTGCCTCGTGCTTGTAGAGACCAGAAGAGGGCATCCGGAGTTCCCGGAGCAGCAAGGGCTTTTAACCGCTGAGCCATCTCTCCAGGATGTTCTCTCTCGCTTGAGGGTGATCTTTTAAGTCAGGTAGCTGTGACTCAGTGATAAAGGGCTTGCCTGGCATACATGAGGCCCTGGGTTCAGTCCCCACCACTACAAAAATAAACACATAAATCAATTTTCCAGCCAAATATGGCAGCTCGAGTCTGTGATTCTAGAACGGAGGAAGTAGAAGCAGGAGGATTGGGGAGTTCAAGATATTCCACAAATACGTAGAAAGTGCTGAGTTCACGACCAGGCTGGACTACAGGAGACCTGCCTCAATTAAAAAAAAAAAAGTGATTAATATTTGCTGTTTTCAACATCACTGGTATATAATGAATGGGTTTTTGTTTTATTTTGGGTTTGGTTTAGTTTTTAGTCTCTGTAGGTTTTTTTGTTTGTTTCATAACAGGGTTCCTTTGTGTAGCATTGGCTGTCCTGGAACTCACTTTGTAGACCAGGCTGGCCTCTAACAGATCGCCTGCCTCTGTCTCCCAAGTGCTGGGATTAAAGGTGTGACCCACCGCACCACTGCCAGCCAATGTATGTGTTAAATGGATGAAATCTTTATTAACTGACTGAAGTGCCCAAGGAGAGATTCAAGGAAACAGTAACATCATCTCACAAATCCCAGACTTGAATCTAGATGTCTCTTCCTACTGTCCCTCAATCTGTATGGTCAACTATAACAAACACTCAACAAGTCGACAAGGTAGCATGTATCAGTTGTCTTCAGGGGCTCCTAGGTCGGCCAGGTGGCAAGAACGGTTGTCTTTTTCTGAAGTCCCATGTCCATGACAAAGATATAAAAAAAAAAAAAAAACAGACTACCCCGACTTCAATGCTAACAGCCTTTGGGCCTGGTCTCTATGGGGTGAGCTGTAGGAGACTGAGCAGTGCCTCAGGTCTGAACAGCTGTAAGAGGCCAGTGGCACTGCCCCAGGCTCCGCCAATAGAGAGGAGGACAAAAATTCTGGCCTTCTGCTCCGCAGCACTAAGATATCTCTCCAGCTACTGAGGTTGTTTTTATTTGTTTGTTTGTTTGTTATCTATTTGTTTATTTGCTTGTTTTGTTTTTGAAACAGGCTAGCTACTTAAGACCTGTTTCAGAACCAAAGCAACCTCAGTGGCACTCATGCCTGCCGGGTGGCTCACAGCTTCATGGAACTCCAGGTTTAGGGGATCTGATGCCCTCTTCTGGCCTCTGCAGTCAACTGCACATATCTGGTATATATATCTACTCTTAGGCACCCATTTTATGTAATAAATCTTTAAAACGCTTTTCTCTACTTTTACAACTGCATTCAGCCTGAAGTCCACACAAACAATAAACAAGTGAAATGATACACAGATCAGATCATTCGAAGAAAACCATAGCAAGGTGTCACAGGTTGGGTCCGTTGGGTCCAAACCCTGTGATGCTTCTTAGTCCCTATGATGGTCTTTTGTTGGTTTGGTTTGGCTTGGTTTTTGTAGTCCTGGCTGTCCCAAATTCGATTTGTAGATCAGGCTGGCCTCAAACTCACAGAGATCTGCCTGTCTCTGTCTCCCCGAGTCCTGGAACTAAAGGCGTGCACCACCAATCCTGGCTTGTGCTGGGCATGTTGTATGAATCATTTAATCTGCAAACCCTATCTGTAAGGCCTGTTATTTTGCTATCCCCATTTCACTTGAGGTCACTGGTTCCATGACCTCAGCCATTGCTTCTAAGTGAGGGAATGGGAGTAAAACCAAGACTTCTGGCACCAGAGCCAAATTCTAACTTCCATTTTTACCTGAACTATCTCGTACTCTAAATTTTAATTCTTTGCTTATATTTATATCTATTCCCATTTATCCCCCTATTGGTAGGAAAATATAACTACTGGTTTCTCAAGAAAGGGTTCTGGGATTGGGGATTTAGCTCAGTGGTAGAGCACTTGCCTAGCAAGTACAAGGCCCTGGGTAGACTTAGAACTCAGAGATCTGCCTTCACAGTGCTGGGATTAAAGGAGTTCGCCACCGCACCCAGCCTTTCTTTATTTTGGTTTTCTGAAACAGGGTTTCTCTGTGTAACAGTCCTGGCTGTCCTGGACTTGCTCTGTAGACCAGGCTGGCCTTGAACTCACAGAGATCCTCTTGCCACTGCCTCCCAACTGTCTCTGTAACTCCAATTCCAGGGGATTTGAGGCCTTCCTTTGGTCTCCACAGGCACAAATATGGTACACAGCCATACATACAGGTAAAACACCTATACGCTTATGATAATACATAGAATTTAAAAAAAAAATAGAAGGAACAAACAACAGAGAAAAAAGCATCAGTTTGGGCCTCCAAGTGTATCCACACCGGCTAGTACATACACACCACACGCACCGCAAACAGGGACTGCCCACCAAACACACACACACTGCCTCGTGGGAGGCAGTGGCAAGAGGATCTCCGTGAGTTCGAGGCCAGTATGGTCTACATAGGGAGTTCCAGGACAGCCAGGGATACGTAATAGAGAGAGCCCGTCTCAGAGCAAACAAATAAAGGCAATACGCTACAGGAGGGACTTGAATATACCGAGACTATGTAGACACAGTTGGTATTCTGGGGAGAATCGGATCCTGGAACCAATTCCTGGCAGATACCAGGGGATAACTGTGCTAAGACTATTGGAAGGCACACACAGCTAAGCATGGGTGACAATGGAACCAGCTGGAAAGAATCGTTATTCAGTGCAATAGCCAGGCATAGTGGTGTTTGCCTGTAACATCCCGGAGGAGGCCGAGCAAGAGGAACCTCTAGTGGGTGTGGTCCACTTACTCGTAATCCCTGGCACTCAAGAAGTGAAGGCAGGATGCTCGTGAGTTCAAGGTGAGCTTTGGCAACACATACTGAGTTGTTTGAAGCCATTCTGGGCACTATATCAGACACTGTCTTTAGGGAGTGGGGCCTGTAATTCCAGCATTTGGGAGGCAGAGGCAGGCAGATCACTGTGAGTTTGAAGCCAGTCTGACCTACAAAGTGAGTGCAGGACAGACAGGGTTACACAGAGAAACCCTGTCTCAAAAAAAAAAAAAAAAAAAAAAGACACAGACAGGGTGTGTGGGGCTGAGTTGTAGTTCAGCAGCAGAAAGCATGCCCAGCTTGTCTGAGGCCCTATGGTCTATTTCCAGTATGGTCAGGGGGAAAAATTCAAATTCCTGACTGTAGCATGTACTGGTAGAGCACAGGTGAGATCCTCAGCACTATAAAGAAGAAGAAGAAAAAAAAAAAAAAAAAACAAAAACAAAAACAGGCAAAGGAAAGTGCAAAGTTTAAGCTTATTTTCCACAGACATTTTTTTCAGTGTGTCTGAGGTAGGGTTTTTGCATTATGCAAGTTTAGGTTTTGTGCTTAGCAAAGAGTTCCATATTCCCAGCACTTGGGAGGCCAAGGCAGGAAAATCGGTGCCAGCCTGAGCTACCCAGTGAGTTCCAGGCAGCTAGGGCCACATAGTTAAATCCTACCTCAAAAAACCAAATACCGCTCAGCAAGGAAAGCTGACAGGCCCGGGAATCCTGTTCGGTTTACAACACTCACGTTGTAGGAGAAGAGCAACTCTTGCAGGTTGTCCCTTGACCTCCTCATTTGCATAGTGACGTGTTTACATTCAGACACATCCAGACAGGTTCATGCATGCGTATGTACATACATGCATACATACATACATACATGTAATAAAAAATTAAAAGCCAAACAATCCCACAAGAACTCCTCTCGGTCCTAACACTGGGAGCTTAGGGGATCAGGAGACTTGGAATTCCATTCTACTATATCACTCAGCAGCTGGGTTTGGCTCCCAATAAAATGCTGTGCGCAGTATTTTGGGACATGCTGTCCTAAAACATTAGGCATTGCTTATGTTCGGTTCAAAATGTAATGGGTGTCCTGCCTTTGTTCTTAGCTCTGTCTGGTAACCCTTCAGCTGGGTCATCTTGGCCAGGCTGCACAGCTCCTTTGAACTTCTTATCTACAAAGTGGAGAAGTTGGGACATTCCTCACTGTGGTGAGAGTTAAGGGGAAATCTTCATGTAAAGGTGCTGAACACAGCAAAAGGCGCATGGTGAATGCCCAATGATGAGCTGTTAGAATTCATAACTTTCATTTCTCATTTCTGTATCTCCTAGAGTATTTAAATATAATCTACCAAGTTAGATTTACCTCAGCTTCCCAGAAATGCATCAGTTAACAATGATGAGTCTGGCCTGGCAGCCCTGGGCCCCAAAGAGAAGATTAATGATACTAATTTATCAATCAGGAATTTCCTCAAGAGATAAACCAGGGAAACACACACACACACACACACACACACACACACACACACACACACACCCCCAAAAACAAAAACAACGGTG